ACCAGCAACAGTTCGAGTTACAACAAAGTTAATTTCCACTCAGGACAATTGATTTTTTGGAAGTAGATCTTCAGACCTTTCTTCTGAGGTACCTCTGAGTGGTTCTGAACCTTCAACCCATTGGTTAGTAGCTGAGTGCTAAGTGCATTGTCACTTTGTACCATCCAGGTACTCCAAGGTCATTCTAGGCACTAGGAATACCAGTGGTGAATAACACAGACAAATCCTGCTCTCACAGAGCAACGTTTCCCTGGTAGAGAGATAAACCCCTTTTTCCTATGTTCTAGGTAAACTCCATTTTGTTTCTCTTATTATTCGTGAGTGAAATTCAATATTTAAAGGCATTACTTCACATTTCTTCCTCATGATTGTCTTCATGAATCCTAGAGCTACATCTGGTTGTAAACTGAAGATGCTGTGATGTGTTCCTTTCAGCTCAAGCAGAAGAGAATAAATACCAGTGATGGTGGTGGTACTGTGCTGTGGAGTCAGTTCCGACTCATGGCGACCATGTACAGGGTTTCTGAGGCTGTAAATCTTTATGAGAGCAGAAAGCCTCATCTTTCTCCTGCGGAACAGCTGGTAATTTTGAACTTCTGACCTTAAGGTTCGCAACCCGATTCATAACCACTATGCTACCAGAACTCCTTAAATACCAGTTGTTGTTGTTGTTGTTGTTGTCAGGTGCCATCAAGTCAGTACCGACTCATAGCGACCTTAGGCATAGCACAACAAAACACTGCTCGATCTTGGGCCAACCTCACTACTGTTGCCACACTTGAGTTCATCGATGCTGCCACTTGGCTAATCCATCTAGTTGGGGGTCTTCCTCTTTTTCTCTGACCCTTCACCTTACCAAATATGATATCCTTCTCCAGCGACTGGTTCCTTCTGACAATATGTCCAAAGAATGAGAGAAGAAGTTTGGCCATCCTGGCCTCCAAGGAGCACTCTGGCTGCACTTCTTCCAAAATAGATCTATTGGTTCTTTTGGCAGCCCATGGCACTTTCAATCTCCTCCAACATCATAACTCAAAAGCATCAGTTCTTCTACAGTCTTCCTTATTCACTGTCCAGCTTTTGCATGCATATGAGGTTATTGAAAATATCATGGCTTGGGTCAGGCGCACCTTAG